ACAAACTTATTTTCATGGTTTACACATTAGTTTGAAGCACTGTGACAATGATAACATTTAATCCTTAAAAATATCTAATAGCTGTTTTGATACTATCACTTATTGTCTAGTAAGTAATCCAGTAGTGACTAATATCTGTTAAATATGTCACTAGTAGGGTCTTCCTGTTTTTTTTTAGGTAAGTACTTTCAATTCCAATAGTGACAAGTATCAATTCAGTTAGTCATTATACTCATCACATACTAGCACTTATTAATTTGGTACTAGTCACCATCCCAATAGTGACAAGTAACTATTCCATTGCTGCTGGTACCAAATTAGAAATATCTTGCCACTAAATTCTTTTGGGATCTGTGGTTCAGATATCAACTGTTCACAAGTATCCTTTCTAGTTTCACCATAGTAACTATCCATTGGTATTATCAGTATTTGTTCTATATCTATTCCAGTTTTCAGAAATTGAAGATAGCTATTAATTGGACATTAGGATGAATATGAATCATTCTGACTGTACATATGACAAGCTATTAGATAAGCATATGACAAGCAAGAATAGATAACTAGTAACTATTGGAATAGTTACTTGTAACAAGAATGGAACCCATTGAATTCAACGGCAGTTAGCAACTTGTCACTAGTAACAATGGAATAGTTTCTTGTCACTACTGGAATGGTAGCTAATTGCAAATGAATAAGTACCATTGACTAATTGAATAGATATTAGTCACTTTTTCAATAAGTACTAGTATCTAATCAATAGTCAGTTCAAACATAGCCTACTATTCAGTATAGGATTACTTAGTGGCAAGTCATAAATAAGCACTATGGCATAAAATAGATACTAGTTAGTTGTAAGTAATGTAGCTATGCTATAACGGCTTACCATGAAGCACCATCCGTCTAATTAAACTCACCTTTTGTTGGTCGACCAACTCAAGCCACGTAGTTCAAATGACATGTTTATGTGGATCCTTGTGGTTCCCTTGGAAAGAACGTCACACCGCCAACCCGTAAACTCCTCGGAATAGGAAAAGAGTTGATATTTGTGGTCTCCCTCCGCGTACGCGCGTTCACTTGTGTGTCGAGACACTTGGCTTTGGTCACCCGATGCGGCCGCCCTGTCGACCGATGGCAAGAACGTGTGAGAACATTGACTAATAGTAAGAGGAGGGTCTTACTATATATATAAAAAAGAGAAAACTCGCTGTATTTCTCCTTACTCGGCCCACTCCACGGATTGTTTAGCAATGCAAATAAACGGGCCCCCAGAGCACTTGGCCAACAGCTGGATCCCATCAAAGACAGACAGCCCCCTTTGGAACGAAATCGCGCAAAGGCAGCTGCCACAGACCAAAACGAGGAGAAGGAAGAAGGCGGTGAGGAAAACCGAGAAAAGAATCTATAAAATGACGCATAATTAAATTGTAAGGCTCACCAGCCTGCCTAAATTTAGAGAGGGCTACTGTACGTGCTGGTGCCGAGTCATCACGTCAGACAGACTCCACCACCCAAAATCACTCGTTCAGGCTTTTAGTAAAGTAAAAAGTTGCTCTCGCGTTAGTATTAGCGGAATGTCGAACGTTTTTAAATATCAAAAATGTACATATCACAAATAGCCTTTATAACCAAAATAGTTTATTTCACATAACGTTTTTTTTTATTGAATTAAATTAACATTTAGCTAACTGTTACTGACACCAGAGCCGTTGAAAAACTAAATTACAATCTGGGTTGGAACGTTAATAGATTTCTTGTCAAATTTACCAATATAAATTTATTTAAAAAGTTGACTGCCGCGCACTGATTGGACAGCAGACCATGACCACAGTAAGTGTCACCCTGACCTGCATCTTATTAGCTATTGCCCAGTGTAAATATGCTGAAATAGCCTTGTACCGCTAACCTTTGAGCTGTTGACACACTCGGCCCACACACTTGACTGGAAGGTGCGCATACACAGGCAGAATTTGTTTTTATTGTATCCATTTATGTCAACTAACTTTGCTTTTGCTTTTGTCTATTGATTAATTGGGGTTAGAATAGGTTTGGCCGCATCTAGCAGGCCAGATGTGGACTGAATTCAGCAGGGAAGACTGTGCTGGGAGACTGAGACCGTTTATCAGAGCTTTTTGGCATGGATAAGGCTAGAAGATGGAGTCAGTGGTCACATCCCCGGGCAGCACACTGCCACACTCTCTCTCTGCTGCTCACTTGAAATAACTCAACCGTTCAGTGGCAACTGTGTGAATTTAAGCACTACTTAAGAGCAAGTTTTTTGAGAGTTGCACCAGTTAGGCTACAGTGAGCCGTTGAAAGCATCAGTGATATGTTACAGAACATTTTTTTTTTTTTTAAATCACTCAGACATTCATTAGACTCTTAAATACAAATATTTTCAGGTTCAGGTTCAAGGTGATCAAAGTCTGCCAGATTAACAGACCCTCTAGGCAAAAGCCCATTTGGATTAAGATCTTGAGATATAAAAAAGGTTTAGACTTGATCTGACGCTGATAAAACAGACAGCAGAGTTATGATAGTTCAAATGTACACAATCTAACAGCAGGAAAAATGGCTTTGAGGAATGTGGGAGGCTGAAGCAGGTGTTCCCTGGTGAGGGCAGGGTTATTTTATCTGGCTTTGTGAGCACTGTGTGAGGAGAGTTCGCATTCAAATCTGACACCTGCTTACATTCACTATATCCAACACCCTCAAAGTGTTTCCACCATTTAGTGCAATGGATTTGCTTCAAAGCAGCGCAAATACTTGCTAGGATTCAAACGGGCCACTACAGCATAATAACTGAAATGTTTGTTTGTATATGAAGAATTAACAGTTATGCTGCCTGTGCTGAATTTAATGCATTGCAACATAATCCTATTTTAATATATTTTAAAATGCACTTAAAATACACTTTATTCCTGTGCACTACTTTCTAATATGTCTATATATGTTTCTAATATGTTATAACAATGTATAAGTCTTTACTGTCACTTTTCATCAATTTAATCATCCTTGCTGAATAAATGTATTAATTTCTTTGGGGAAAAAAAAGTCTTACTGACTCCAAACTTTTGAAGGTAGTGTATGTATATCCACAACTGGACGTCAAAATATTAACATCTATTTAAAATGGTTAAATGTTCCAAAAATCTACACACCAGAAAACAGATGGCTATTTTAGACATGGTTACGCTACAATTGGAATTCCGGACAGGGTTTGCCCTAGAGACATATTGGGAAAGAAGGACATTCCCTTTTGTGGTTAATCTGGTCTGATAATGCTCTAGACCACTGCCTCCATAAGTACTTTTAAATTACAGCCTTGCAGATTACATAGTCTGCAGGGGGAGGGAAAGAAAACACAGATGCAAAAGATCAACAAATGCACAACACGGATGCAAAAGATCATCATCATCCTTATAAAAGTCTTGTATAATATATGGAAAAGAACTGTACAATTTAAGGATTAGATTTGCATATTAATTACCAAACAGCAGGAGTTCCTTTTGCATAGTTATCGTGAAGAGATGTATTTCTAAATAAAAACAAACACTAACTATTAGAATGGAACTGTAACATCTTCATATTAAAACAGCACTTAAGCGGCTTAAATTAATGAATAAATAAATTAAAATAAAAGGGAAAACGCAAATATACATAGGAAAGAATAGTTTATTCAGTAGAAAAGAGAAACACTGTTGTTGACTAACACTTTCATGAGCGGTCTTTCAAACTTCAAAAAGATTGATCAACTTTAAATAAACACCAGCGCAAAATATATACCCTAACATGTATAAATGTACCTTAAATCTATATAATCAAGTGCACCCAACTTTTATGAAAGATATAACCAAAAAGATAATTACTAAGGCCATTTTCTCTTTAAAAAAAAAAAATTTTCTTCATATTAGACCTCAAGGAAATGCCATTTTTAAATATTTGGTTGGAACCCATAGAATTAGGAGTCCTCTGTTATAATAATGTTTATTATAACAGAGGTTTATTATTTGTTTATTAAGCTATTTTTAAATATACAGGTCATTTTTAGCCTGAATTTGCACTTTAATCCTTTCATTTTCCTTTATGTGTGCATGTTTTCCAAACTGTATATACATGTTTCTTTCTACCTTAGAAAGGTCTGAATATTGCAGATACATTTTAGCTTATGCCCACTGCATAAACAGTGAAAAATATGATTGATGTACAAATAAATAACATAACTGCACACTTGTACTGCATGGGAGCATGAGCTGCAGTCTAAATCCAAGATCAAATGTCACTTCTTGATTAACTGTTATTGTACCTGCCATACCATACGGTCAACCATTCATAGCACTCAAAACAGGAGGATTTTGAAAGACTATCTGTAGCATTTTTGCAGAAGTGGAAAAGGCTTAATAAATCCTTTTGTGCAGTGGATGCCAGACAGCATCAGACAGTCTCTCAACACACTAGAAAAACATTAAACACCTCTCTTTGTCTAAAAATGACAAGCTGAATGTTTGCACAACATTAAATGAATGTTGGGAGAAGGTCACAAGAATATTCGATAATGTAATCTTCCCCAGTTTGCAAACAGAATTCGATTCTGTCAAATTTAGGCCTCAGTTTAGTCAAATTTAACAAGCACAGGCAGCCCTTAGATGCTTTTATGAAAGATATAACCAAAAAGATAATTACTAAGGCCATTTTCTCTTTAAAAAAAAAAAATTTTCTTCATATTAGACCTCAAGGAAATGCCATTTTTAAATATTTGGTTGGAACCCATAGAATTAGGAGTCCTCTGTTATAATAATGTTTATTATAACAGAGGTTTATTATTTGTTTATTAAGCTATTTTTAAATATACAGGTCATTTTTAGCCTGAATTTGCACTTTAATCCTTTCATTTTCCTTTATGTGTGCATGTTTTCCAAACTGTATATACATGTTTCTTTCTACCTTAGAAAGGTCTGAATATTGCAGATACATTTTAGCTTATGCCCACTGTATAAACAGTGAAAAATATGATTGATGTACAAATAAATAACATAACTGCACACTTGTATTGCATGGGAGCATGAGCTGCAGTCTAAATCCAAGATCAAATGTCACTTCTTGATTAACTGCTATTGTACCTGCCATACCATACGGTCAACCATTCATAGCACTCAAAACAGGAGGATTTTGAAAGACTATCTGTAGCGTTTTTGCAGAAGTGGAAAAGGCTTAATAAATCCTTTTGTGCAGTGGATGCCAGACAGCATCAGACAGTCTCTCAACACACTAGAAAAACATTAAACACCTCTCTTTGTCTAAAAATGACAAGCTGAATGTTTGCACAACATTAAATGAATGTTGGGAGAAGGTCACAAGAATATTCGATAATGTAATCTTCCCCAGTTTGCAAACAGAATTCGATTCTGTCAAATTTAGGCCTCAGTTTAGTCAAATTTAACAAGCACAGGCAGCCCTTAGATGCTTTTATCTTTTTTTTATTCCAATGGCAATCAGCCGTTTTAGTAAATATTTGAATTCATGACATGGCCCGGTTTTCTGTTTCCATCTGCTGGAACGTAGAGTCCTGATAAGCTAAAGTGCTTTGAGTAGCAGTACAGGTGGCTGATGTCACTGCTTGAGCAAATCTTTCAGCACAGCTCCACCGCTGGCCTCAGCCGACACAGGTACAGGTGTAAAGGTGGGCAGGGCGTCTGAGATGGGCTTCATAAGCAGGTGGCCCCCAGAACCTGCAGTGCTGCCTGCACCTGCGGGATTGAGGAGGGGTACGGCTGCAGACCGGGGTGCCAGGAAGGGGTTTGAATCCCCAGTGCGCTTACCTGGGCCTAAAACACCTGAAAGAACACAAGCAATGTTAGAAGTGATCACAGATAATATACAGGCCTATTTGGACCAAGAATGATAACTATGATGATAGCTATATTAGTGTCCAGACCAACAGGCGATAACTTACTGTTTGTTCTAACCAGGCACTGCAGTTATGTTGTCTGCTGCTTTAAATGCTGGAACTTTTTAAAGTGAGATGGATCCTAATTGGTTGTCAACGTTTGTATCGTTTATCAGTAGGAAATCATTCTGAAAGTCATTCCAACTATATTGTTCCTCTGTGTCATTATTGTTATAGCATTGGTGGGGACTTTCAAAGAATAAAAGCAATTATTAAAACTTTATAGTTAACATCCTTGGTGTGAATGGCCCTGGCCTATGAAATGTAACGTTTTTTAATCATGGATGCACCAATATTAAAATTCTGGCCAATAAGGATAAGCCGAAAAATATTTTCATGTTTCATTTTCATTAAATTATTTTCAACATTTAATATTAAATTCTATAATATTTTGTCTAAATAAATTAAAAAGAAAAACTTTTTTAAATAATATTTTATATTATAAATAATAATATAAACATTTTAACTAAATTTGTAACTTTTTTTTTAAATTGTAAACTTTATTTTGAGATGCACTAAATATTACATTAAATTGCATTATATATAAGCTTATAAAAACTATCTACATTTTTAAATTTTTTATAAACTAAAAATTCCAAAGCTGTCATTTTTAAAGATTAATTTAGAGTAAAAATAGTGTAAATTATCATGCATATATTTAAAAACCCAATGTGGGCCTATACTGAAACATAAAAAACCAAATCTGAGCTAATAACAATAAATTAAAACATAACAATAACAATATATTGTGCATCACTAGTTTTTATGTGACATTATACCTGATGCAGGTGTGCTTGCTGTACTCCGGCCAGGTGGGGGCGCACTCAGAAGCTTGATATCATAAACGGGCAATTTAGGGGCAGGAAGTGCAGGAGTAGACTCCACCTCCAGGAACTTCACAAACATCTCAGAGAAGGACTTTAAAACAGAGACTAGTGTAAGAGGAAGATGCATGTGTATAATAATGTGTGTGCATGCATTCATATGTGCACCCACCGAATTGAGGTTCTGTGTAGGCCTTTGGGGAGTGTTGGGTATACTCTGAACAGCTCTGCCTCCCAGCCAACCCGAGACCCATCCCGTCATCCCACTCTTGCCCTCTTCCTGTAACAACTGCAGAAAGAGAAAACATTAAAAGTCAGTAGGACAGTAGGCCAGAGGGAATGTTTGTGTGTGTGTGGTCTTTGGTTGTGTGTCCTCAAAGCACTCGGACCAAATGAATGCTACACCTTTGATACAAAACAACTGAATCAGACTATTTTTTTTTTTTTTACAAAAAAAGCAGACAGATTATTTTTAGTCTTTAAAGTTGTAAACAAAGAGATCTTGAGTGGAAAACTTAATGTGTAGCATAAAAAATATGAGAAAGGTGTGGAGAGGAGTGAAGAAAGAAAATATGGGTTGAAATGGAAAGTGGATTGTGTGACCCAGAGACACGCATACTCATATTTACTTTCCTTCTCTCCCTCTTTCTTCTCTGGAGGCTGTTGAGTAATTCTGCTCACAACTTGCTGAATAGCTGGAGTCTCTCCTGCCAGAGCCCAGCCTACTTCTATGGGACTGTGGGTAAGGAAATGCTTTTGGTGTAAGATTGGCATGGGCCCGTCATCTAATTCAGTCTTTGTCTGTCTCGCAGTCTCTCTCTTTCTTCCTGTGAGTCTCTAACTCCTGATTTCTGCCTGCTGACTGTCTATCTTCTCATAATGTTTGCTTGCTTTATCAGTCTCCTATTTTTATGACAACATTTTAATATATGAACAGCATACTCAATATATTAATGAAAAACAAAATAAAAAAAATGTATTAACTGCCTATTGCTATAGAGTTTCATCTAGAAAATGACTCATTACCTTAATTCAGATCAAAAATGTATGCTGGTGTGAGGTTAGGTATTCAATTCTATGACAAGGTTGTGTAAATGACTATATTCTTAATGCACTTTTCTTGTCCTAATGTGAACAATTCATTATGCATGCTAAAACAAAAAAATTATAACAACAACTCACTCTTCCTCAGAAATAAATTTCCCTTTCTGCTGAAGTCACTTCAGGATATTAAATAATGTTAACCAATAGCCAAATACATATACAAACAGCTAATTAGGGTTTGAGCAAACTTGCATTCTCATTCTGGTGTGTAATACCTATGTTTCACAATCCAATTAATTCCCATTTTCCCCTCACCGAATATCCAGATTCACTTGGAAATACAACACGTTATGCAAGTAAAATGGGTTGTGAACGACTGCAGTGCAATTTGTTGAAAAAGGAAAAACCCCATGCTGGTTTTGACCCTTTAAGGACAATAGCTAAAACGACTATGGCTTTTCCAAGAAAAAAAATTAAGCCACATCCTGCTTTATCATCAGAACTAATCTGTTCCTGTTATTGAGAAAATCAGCCCCACCAGGATTAAAACGGAAAAACAGCAATTCGAACAGAAAACAAATCAGCTCTATTAGCGGTCAGCCAAATGAATGCGGTCATATGCGTGCAGAGTTTCCGGGAGTGATGACGTGTCATTTAGTGCAGGCTGTCCTAACAAGAGCAGAAATCTCTATACCCAGATTACCAGCAAGGACCGGACGCAACTTGAAGTCATCCTTCAAAAGGACTCAAAACAAGGACCTTTTTCAACAAGTCCATCATGGGCTGCTTGAGGTTTGTGCCAAATTAAACATGCGGTAAGATGAGTGGAAAAATCTTTTTAACATCTGATAAAAACCTTCACGCTGACATCAAACAAGAGATCATTGGAAAAAAATTTAATTAGAAGCTGGGTGGAGAACCGAACATCAGGATTCAGGAGGTCAAATATTAAATCAACACATGTTTAACAGTCACGTTTCAAGAGTGAGACAAGGACTTGAGCAGAGCCACATTTGAGAGTGATGAAAAGTAGGAGGAATTTCACATAACAGGTGAGACAGAATGGTGAAAGAAATGACAAATTGTGAACGAGACTGCTCCTTCTCTTTGAATGTCAACATGCAGGCACGAGCACATTTGCGAAGAGGAATACTTTCATTTAAAAAAGTGAATTCAAAAGGGAGGATAAAGAGAAATCTACAGTATGAGAAGCAGAGAGCGCTGACCCACCTCGGCCACCTCATCTCGGTCCAACCCAAGCACATTACCCATAAGCCTCATCACCTCAGAACGCTTGTTTCGGGGGGTATGAAAATAGCCCAGGTAAAGATTCTTCATCAGAACCCTGTGTCAGAAGTTAATCACGTTAGAAGATATTTCACAGGAACACCCTTTTGAAAATATTCGGATCTACATACAGTGGTGTGAAAAAGTTTTTGCCCCCTTCCTGTTTTTTTACAAAAACCTTTTCACGGCACTGTATATATGAAATATGTTTCCAATGCAGATGTGTTTTGGACTCACTTGTCCACTTTGCCTTCGGTGCTGTTCAGGAGGTTCATCAGTTTTCTCTGAGCCTCTTCCAACATCTCCTGTCTCACATCCACTGCAAAAAACACACAGGTACAAGTTTGAGTATTTTGTGGTATTTTCCCATTCACTGCTGTCACAGTTAGGCTTACGAGTTATGGGTTAATTCATAAAACCAACACATTAATAAAAAATAATTTACTTTGCTAATGTCTGGCTTCTGTCAGATATGGCTGTGTGTCTAAGGTTCCAAAAAAGTTTTTTTCCTATACACACATGATTCTTTTCAATTTCTGGCAATGAAATTTAATTAAATCAAATTAATTCAGCCTTGTTGAGAATAAGAGACTTCTTTCAAAAACGTAAAAAAAAAAACATTTTTTACCGACCACAAACTTTTTTTTATACATTTACGCCTAATATTATGCTGAAGTTCCTTATAAAGTCATAAGCCACTGGCAAATAAGTTTAGTTTCTAGACAAAGCCAATTTTACTAGCACTTGGTGAGTGTTCATTTTGGATGCATCTCACAAACAGCTTTCAGCAGGAGGTGGTATATGACTTTGTTATGCATTAATGCAAACAGTAGAGAACAAGTGTTTGCACTGAACTAATAAGTATTTGTGTCTGCACTGTAGCGTCTGGACCAATCAGACACAACATTTTTAATTTGATTTAACAAATCAATTATTCATTAGATTAACAAACATTCACAGACCCCTCACCCAATAAACATACTGGGTGCCAGGATGTCTGCAACGACACCAGGCCCCCCCTGGTCCCCATGGCAACCACGACACCTTTGCTAGACCAGATCCATTTACGACCTAATGGCATGTTGAGAATTACCCCTCTCACTACAATTTCCATAGGAAAGACACAGTGCACAGTAAAAATGGACTCTTCTCTAATTAATTAATAGGAAAACCTTTCTTTGAATGAACACACAAATCCTTCAGGTCATTGTGTATGTTGTCTTTGAGACTTTATACTGTTTTATGCAGGCTTATGATGGAAACACTCATTCCTGTCATCTTACCTATATGTAATCCTACCATGTTTAGTATCTATGAATTAGTCTTCTGATGATCTAAACGAGAGTGTATATTATATGTTGGTACATAGGCAATATATTAGTGTCCTGAGAATCGTTATTTCCCTTAACCAGGAAATTAACGTTCTTAGAATTGACAGACAGGTGACCCTGAGAGGTCAAGTAAATATCTACAGCGGATCTAAATATTTGTAATTAATTATAACTAGTTATGATTAATTATTCATATTTCCCCATGAGCTGATTCGCTACAGCACCTTAACATAAACAGTAATAACAGTGGTATGGGGTTCAGTGTGTCTGGGAATGTCTCGTGGAGTAGAAACAAAGATGTCTGAGAATATGGCGTGCTGTAAATGCCTTTATTACAAACACCCCTTGCTGATCCAGACCATTTGGCTACTCAGAACCCTTTTCCTCTGAGACTTCAACTCATGAGACCACACGAACTGAGCGATAAGAAAGGGTGCGAGAGTTCCTGTCTGTTCTAAACACCCTGGAATGTCTGTCGGCTACACTTGTGCTTCGCTAGGCAAAAATGAACCATTCTCGATCATTCTGTCTATGGTCTCCTCAGTCGTTCTTTGACAGATGCAGTAAAACTCCCACCGCTCATCCCTCACCCTCCTCTCCCTCTCAGACCGACAGCACCATATTTTTGATTTGGGGCTTGATACAGACAGAGAAGAAAGGGATAGGTGAGATAGAAAGACAGGGTGGATGGAAAAAGAGAAACTTTGTCTACACAGTTTGGCTACTGACATGCCATAAATATCATCTCTCTGACAGAGAGGAGATGCGAAGGAATGCTAAACATCTATACCATCTACAGACCTGGCTGCTCTCTGCATTTCTCTTACAAATACAAACGTGTGTCTCTTAATATCTGCACTGATATGAATCAAATTTAAACCACTACATAAAGCACAGTCTCAGAGTCAAACATAATTTAATGGTTCCTGATGTTCCTGGTCCTGTTGACGTTCAAAAGTCTCTTCAGAAAAATGGTTCACAGTGCTATAAATCTGAGAAAATCTCAAACAATGTGCCATGAGTTTTGTGTCAACTGAGCTTGAGAGCTAGTCTTTTCGCAAAACATTTTTGTGGTGTATGTTGTCTCAACACTTTATAGGATTGTGTCATTGAAAGGATATTATATTATAAGTGCTGTGCAACACAGGTTCATAAGGGTAATTAAATTATCAAAGTTACAAAATAAAATGCTTTTTGACTTTTAAATAATAATTATATTTTTTTATTAACCAATAACCAAGACATGGACTCAGTCACAATGCACATTATGCACGATCTGAATTCAATTGAATCAAATAAATTACTGAAATCTGAATTGAACTAAATTGAGAGGGATTTAGTTTTGAAAGGGAATCAGGAAATAAATGCTAATACCCAGCCTTAGTTTTTGTCAGCGGTTGATTAGTCCTTAATGGTGATTTAATCTGAATTGTGTTTCTGTTTTTGGTGTTGAATTGTGTTCCGTTTCTGATTCTTCATCAAACTAAATTGAGAGATTCTGAATCAGAACCAAACTGAATCAGGAACTAAATGCTGATACCCAGCCTCAGTTTTTGCTATGGTTCATTAGTCCTTAATGAAGATTTAATTTGAATTGTGCTTCTGTACTCTTCCTTGATCCTAGTTCAGTGGTTCTCAACCAGGGGGCTGGGGCCTCAGCAAACGTCCAATGGGACAAAATTAAAGGGGTCATATGATGCTATTTTAAAAATCATTATTTTGTGTATTTGGTGTAACAGAATATGTTGACATGCTTTAATGTTCAAAAAACACATTATTTTTCAAATACTGTACATTATTGTAGGTCCTCTATGCCCCGCCTCTCTCAAATGCGTCGTTTTCAACAAAGCCCCTTTGAATCTTGTGTTGGACAACAGTGTTGGGCAAGTTACCTCCAAAATGGGCTGAGAGGAAATGGAACAAAGGACAAACTACAGATTTCTTATGAAATGTTAAGATTCCCTTATTAAGTATCAGAAGGCGGTGAGAGTGGCCAAATCAGACTATTTTTCAACTCTTATAGATATAAATCATAATAATCCTAGAACCCCTATTTCCAACCTTCCATTTTTAGCAAAAATAATAGAGAAGGTGGTTTTTCATCAACTACAAAGTTTCTTGGTCGATTAAAAAAATTGATGCATTCCAATCAGGCTTTAGAAAATTTCACTCCACTGAGACGGCTCTTTTAAAAGTGTTCAATGATGTCCTTTTAGCTACCGACTCTGGAGATTCTGTAGCTCTGGTGCTTTTAGACTTGAGCGCTGCTTTCGACACTAGACCACAGTGTTCTTCTGGCCCGCTTAGAACTGGTAGTGGGCATTAGAGGTTCAACTGTTGGACAATGAGCGCCTTCAAGACAAAAAGGTTGAGAACCACTGTCCTTGTTAAACAATAAGGGTTTCTAGTAAAGTTCTTATGCTCTGATTTCAACAGTCATTAACTGGTGACATTTGGCCTCACCTTGTTTCTTCAGATCTTCTATCTGTTCCTCTTTGAGGTCCAGCTGGTCAGTGAGGCGGGAGGCAGATTCTAGAGCTGCGTTTGCTTCATCCAGGTTTATCTAAGATTACACACACAGTCATAGAACATTAACATAAACCCTTGTCAAACAGTGCAGAAAGGACAGAGGTTTGTATATGTCTGTTTGAACTGACTTGCAGAGCAGCTGCCTGATCATGAAGATTTTCTGCTTTAGTTCTCCACTCTTCTTTCTCTCTCTTGTGTTTTTCCAGTTCTGCTGAGTACATGGCCTTTTCTTCTGTAAAGAGAGATACAGATGTCAACACTGTTCAAGACTGAAGGCTTATTGCAGATTCCTCTCTTAATCCAAGCATTTAAAAAAGAAAAATCTGAATATTATACTCCAATCTACATTTGTAATTACTTTAATCGTCATCATTCCATAAAAGAAAGAAAGATGATTTTCTTTGATTTTTTTTATTACAATAAAAATTGAACAGCAAAAATGTGCATGCTTGCCTTGTTGAAACTGTTCTAGCACCATCTGCAGGTTAGAGAGTGACACTGCATACTGGTTGACCTGATCCTGAGCAGCACGGAGCTGAATAAGCGCTTCATCTCTCTGTCTGATGGCACCATTCAGCTGCTCCTGAAGAGACTCGACCTGAAGGCTAGCCTGCTGACTACACACACACACACACACACACACAGTTAGAGACATTAGTGAGGCTAAACCAATATAATGAGTAAACTGAAAAACAATTTAGGACACTTTCACATGAGGCTTTGGTGTCTTGATGTCAGAATTTAGTTGGTATGAAACCAATCCAAAGTCATTTGCAAAAGTCAAACACTAATGGAATAATTTGTCATAGTATAATGCATTTTTAATTGTTGCTTGTCACCACAACAATTGTCTCAACGTTTTTCATATTTTTTGTACTTATGGCAGACAGAAAGACTTTGTGGTACTGATATAAAATATAGCTGCAATCAGCAATTAAGGGACCAAGTACAAATAAAGCAAAATGAGGAGCTAAGCAAGCATGGCAGGGGGCATCAGATCAGTAGAAAAAATTAGTAATTAAAGAAATTTTTTGATTATTTTAAGCAAAATGGTTGAAAACCCATAGATACAATCACTTGTAATGTAAAAATTGCTAACTGACCAGTTACTTATTCAAACAAGGTTTGATCAAAAAGCTTTTTAAAAAAAGTCAGTAGCCCCTCACTGCAGAACACAAGATCCAGGGGGGCGTGGTTGGATCCACATCTAAGCACGGTTATTTAAACAAGTCTTCAGTGTAATGGGTCCGACATTTTTAAATTTGATCAATAAATGCTTTGAGTTAGGAGTTGTTCCGGACCATTTAAAACATGCCTCGGTACAACCCAGACTTAAGAGGCTTAATTTAGACCCCTCTGATGTATCAAATTTTAGACCTATTTCCAACCTTCCATTTTTAGCAAAAATAATAGAGAAGGTGGTTTTTCATCAACTACAAAGTTTCTTGGTCGATTAAAAAAATTGATGCACATCAATCAGGCTTTAGAAAATTTCACTCCACTGAGACGGCTCTTTTAAAAGAGTTCAATGATGTCCTTTTAGCTACCGACTCTGGAGATTCTGTAGCTCTGGTGCTTTTAGACTTGAGCTCTGCTTTCGACACTGTAGACCACAATGTTCTTCTGGCCCGCTTAGAACTGGTAGTGGGCATTAGAGGTTCAGCTTTAAATTGGTTCCAGTCTTATCTTACGAACAGAAGTTTCTCAGTTAATATTGGCAAGTTTCACTCTTCCTCTGTACCTTTGACCTGTGGGGTCCCTCAAGGCTCTACTCTAGCTTCCATGTTATTTTCCTTGTATATGCTTCCCCTCGGATCTATCTTTGAGAAGTATGGTATAAGTTATCATTGTAACGCAGATGACACACAAATATATATTCCTTTGAAACATAAGAATGGATTAGACCCGGTGGCCACCTGCCTCGTGAATATTAAAGCATGGATGTCTCAAAATTTTTAAGTCTGAATGAGAGTAAAACAGAGATTGTGGTGTTTACCCCTTCGGATACACACTGTATACCAAATCTAAATCTTGGTGTTCTGGCACCTTATATAATAAAATAAAATTCAAAAGTTACTACTGTTCAAAATTGTAGGATGAGTAGGATTTTTATGTTTTTGAAAGAAGTCTGCTATACTCATCAAGGCTACATTTATTTGATCAAAATACAGTAAAAACAGTAAAATAGTGAAACGAATAAAATTTAAAACAACTTTTATGTTATAATATATTTTAAAATGTTCTTCCTTTGATGGCAAAGTAGAATTCTTTGATTAATAATTTTGACAGTTTTAAAGTGATTTTGACATGTATATTTTTTTACACACAAACAGACAAACCTGCTCTTTATCTTTTAGCATCTTCTCAATGGCAGTAGCCTTCTCATTCACAGCACTGAACTGAAACTCTCGTTCCCGAAGCAGCAGTGACACCTGCATGTTGGTCTCCTGAAGTGCACGGAACTCTGTCTCTTTCTCGCGAGCTTTTGCTGCTATCGCTTCATTCTCCTCTTTTAGCTTCTTCACATCGAGTTCCAGGATCAGGGCACGCTCCTTCAGGTTTGTCACAGCCTGCTTCAAGACCTCATTGTCATTTTCGCGATTGCGTAAATTTTCACTCACCTAGATTATACAGAAAAAATGTCACAAGTTTAGGATTAACAAAATCATTCAGAGATTTATTTAAGTGTATGTAAAAACATAACACAAATGTCATTTGCAAACTTTGGAATATAAACAAAATCTCATACTGCAAAACTGACATTTTACTCCGCAATCTATTTACAGTGCCTATGGTATTGCACTTCTTACAGCTTTCCCTACCAGCCATTCAACACATCAGAATTGTAAGCCACCTGACTGAGTTGGTCTCCCTTGGTCTTAATGAGCAGATCTTTCTCTCTGAGGGAGCGCTGTAGCGATTCTTGCTTCTCTCTGGCCTGCTTGAGCTCCTCTGCATGGCTTCTCTGCTCACTTTCAGACAGAGATGCAGAATTTGACAAGCGATGATTGTTTTCCTGCAGAATTCTTATCATGCTCTCCTTCTCTGCTAAAATTCTCTGCATTGACTGCAACTCTTGATGTAGGCTCTCATCTTGGCCAGGTCGTGCTGCCTCCTTCAGGTTTGGAGGGGCAAAAGCCTGGGTAGCAGAAGCTTCTGGAGAGTGCTTGACACTGCCAAGCTTCCCAAGCAGGACATCTTTGGTACTGCTCAGCTGGCTGATGGTCTGCTGCACCTGTGCCAGCTCTTGACTCAAAAATCCCAGCCTTTTCTCTTTCTGCTCATAGCTCTGAATAAGTCTGGTGTAATCCACCGAGAGCTTTGAGCTGCAGTCACTATCTGCAGAAACCTGCCCCTGCAGCTTGAGCAGCTCCTCTTGTAGCTGAGCAGATTCATGCTGCATGTTCCTCACAGTCGTGATCACCTGCTGCTTCCACTCCTCCATCTTCTTCACTTGCTGTTTGAGACTGTCACGTTCTTGTAGGAGCTCCTCAAACTGGTTGCTGCTAACTCCCCCTGAGCCACCACTAACAGAATCGCTGCCACCAGATGCCTGGAGGACAGAGACCAGGGTCTGACATTTCTGAGTCAAGGCGTCAATCTCAATATCCTTCTCACGAATGATGCGGGAAAGGTTCTGAATGGTCTCTCGAAACATCTCTTGACTGCCTGAAGGGTCGCTCATAGTGGAGAGCCGCTGGTTTTCTTGCTGAAGCTTCAACAAGGCGGCTTCCTTGGCTGCAACAATGTCCATAATGCGATGGTAGTCTAAGCGCAGCTGGCTGTTTTCTCTCGTTTTCTCATTGAGCACGGCCAACACCTGTTCACGTTCCACCGCATATGCCTGCAACTGCTGCTGCAGGAACACCACATCTTGACCATGGCCAGCGCAGCTGGCTGTTTTCTCTCGTTTTCTCATTGAGCACGGCCAACACCTGTTCACGTTCCACCGCATACGCCTGCAACTGCTGCTGCAGGAACACCACATCTTGACCATGGCCACCAGCCACACGAGCATGGAGCGCCTGGATTTCTAGATCTTTTTGAAGAACCATCTGCGAGAGTTTTCCTAGCTCATTCTGAGAGACCACAAGTTGGTCAAGCTGCTTGGTTAGAGACAGGTTCTTCTCATTTAGCTGGTTAATCTCAGTCTCTTTCTCCTTGATTCCTTTCACAAGTTTCTCAATCTCAACCTTTGAAAGGTCATGTTTCTCATTACCGTTTTCGCCATTCAGTGACTGGGTCTTGTCTTCCTGTAGGATTTCTACGGACTGTATTTGACTCTGTCCTTGTGTGCTCAGGCCTTCCACTTCTGACTGAAGCTGGACAATCTCCTCATCTTTAGCACTGATGAGTCTTTCGTAGTTGAGTGAGCTTTGCTCATGTCTTGTCCGTGCTTGCTCTAGTTCACTCTGTAGCACCTGCAGAGAACGCTGCGACTGCAGCGCTGTGGCCTGCTGCTCCTCTGATACCTTCCTCAAAGATTGGACCTCTTTTTCGAGTTGATCTCTGGCAGCTTTGAGCTGGGTCACCTCGGTCTCAAGCTCTGTGATGATGTCCAGTGTCCGCGGCTCTGACAATAACTGCGGTCTGCTTTGCTGGTCCCTCAGACGGTCAATCTCTTCTTTTAGATGGCTGTTTTCTTCCTTCATGGCTCCAAGTTGTTTGTCCTTCTCCTCCACTGACCTTCTCAGAGAGTCACATTCTTGAGTTGCTCCCAAGAACGTGCGCTCTAATTCCTGTTGTGTTTCTGCAGCTTGAGCTTTTAGGGTTTCGGCAAATGCGTCCTTTTCCTGCAGAAGCTCTGTGAGTTGATTTTGGCCTGCCACAGTGATGTCCAGCATCTCACTGGTGTCTTTGTGGTCAGAGACCATCTGCTCCATCTCACGCCTGAGCTCTGCAATTGAGAAATCTTTTTCCTGATTCAGTTTCACCATTCGCTCGTGTTCTGTCTGCAGTGCAGAAGCACCCATAGAGCGTGCTCTGGTCAGTTCGTCGATGGTTTGTTGATACTGTTTGGCCTGATCTGATAGTTGCTTCTCAGTCCTACTTAGCTCAGATTCTAACTGGCTCTTCTCTAATTTCAAGGCTTCAATGCGGGTATCTTTCTCCAGGGACATCCTGCTTAGAGAGGCTTGACCATCTTGGATCTGCCTTTCCAAACTGTCAATCTTCTCCAAAGCCTGAGTGCACTCTTCTTTTAACTTCCTATTTTCAATTTTCAATTCAAAGTCCTCTGAAATGGCCCTCTCGTAGGAGGCCTTTACTTCTGCTAACTCTGTTCTCAAGTCCTGGATCTCTTTATCCCTTGTCTCAAGTACCTTCCTGTGTTCCTCTAACTCATTCCCTTGCTCCCCAGAATGAGTTAACTTCTCACAAAGTGCAGTAAGTTCTGATTCTCTCTCCTGAAGCGCCCTCTTGAGTTCAGAGGACTCCTGCCGCAGCTCTTTGCCCAGATCCTGTGACTTGCACAACTTTTCCCTCAACTCCTTTACCATGGTTTCCAGTTGCTGCTTTGCCATGTGCAGTTCATTCAAGGAGAAGGCACTTTGACTTAGCTTCTCCCCCTGAGCTTCCTGTTCCAGTTGAAGAGTCCGTCTCTGGTCAAGAGAGGAGTTGAGATCTGACTGAAGATGGGCTTTTTCTGCATCAGCCTGGGTTTTCTGCAAGGACAGCTGTTCCTTTACTGCAATAAGATGCTGGAGAAAGAAGATTGAACAAGTATGTAGTATATTAATTCCAATTATAAACACATTCAACAGATCCAATAATTGTTTTTTTAAGATTCTGTATAATAAACTTGAAACATACATGGGCTCAAAAAGAGTACCTGTGTGGCTTTCTGGTTCTGCCTGTCCAGTTCTTCCAGTTCAGTACTGAGTGTTTCTATATCAAGATGTGCTTGCTTTAGTGCTTGCTCCCGTTGATGTAGCTGGCTCTTTAGGTCTGAAACTTCCTGTGACAGTTCCACAGCACTTTCTGACTCTAAACCCTTGTGTCTCTCCTTGGCCAGAGTCAGTCTCTCAACTAATGCAAGCTGAGATGCTGGAGAAAGAAGATTGAACAAGTATGTAGTATATTAATTCAAATTATAAACACATTCAACAGATCCAATAATTGTTTTTTTAAGATTCTGTTTAATAAACTTGAAACATACATGGGCTCAAAAAGAGTACCTGTGTGGCTTTCTGGTTCTGCCTGTCCAGTTCTTCCAGTTCAGTACTGAGTGTTTCTATATCAAGATGTGCTTGCTTTAGTGCTTGCTCCCGTTGATGTAGCTGGCTCTTTAGGTCTGAAACTTCCTGTGACAGTTCCACAGCACTTTCTGACTCTAAACCCTTGTGTCTCTCCTTGGCCAGAGTCAGTCTCTCAACTAATGCAAGCTGATAAAGAAAAAAATAAATAAAGAAAAAGTGTATGAAACTAATGTCAGTTAAGCAAAAAAATTACCATTTGCATGATAACATGTAAGTGTCCTTTCAAAAAGCTATTGAAGTATTGATCACCATATCTTCTTCAAAGATGTTTGGATTTGACAGATACTGAACTTCTGTTCAAAAACAAGAAACAACAGGTATTATTGTGTACCATAACTTTGTCAACATATGCAAACCTTTTCTCTCTCCACCTCTTCCTTCTCTTTCCTGAGGGTATCAATGATGGTGTTGAGCTCCAGAATGTCAGCATGTTCTACCTCTTCTGTAGGACTCCTCTGAATTAAATGAAAAAAAAAAGAAAAGTGTAAAAAGTATTGACACTCAAGCCACACTTACATTATTTGCAGAGGAAACCAGAAAGTGTCCAAATACTTTATCTTAATTGTGAACATTTATATCAATTGCTTTATATTTGAATCCTCAGCATGGCTAAAACATCTAAAAATTATTGGGCTACAAACTTCTAAACTGTGCAGAGGAAGGTTTTTAGCAAATTTACCTCACTGAGAGTCTTCAATCTAGCCATCTCTTTCTCTGCACCTAAAAATAATATACAAAAATATAACATAAATATGAGAGAGCAGTTTATGAATTTTCCCATCCAAGAACATATTTGATCATACACAATTTCTTGAGTTCTCTATACCTGCCAGAGCTTTTTTCAGGGTTTGTATCTCATTGTCATGCTGGGCTTTCAGCATAGACTTCCCCTCCTGTTCCTGTACACGAGCCTGGAGTTCGTTTACAGACTTCTGAAGGCGACTGTAATTCTGCAACAATTCTGTATTTTCTGCTGTAGCCTCCTCCTTTTCCCTCTCTAGCTTGGTCTTCTGATGCTCTGCCTCCTCCAAGCTGGCCAATAGATCTCTGTGCTGTTTGCGCTGAAGCTCAGCCTCCTCCTGTAAAGACTGTATAGTCGATTGCAATTCTTGAAGTTTGGCAGAGTCCTGTACTGTGGTTGATTTTTGGGCAACATTTCCACCTTCTGAAGAAGAGGGAGATAAACACAGCATTGTGCTCAAAGATCAACTGTTCATTTTAAAGTTACCTCCCAATTACAAATCAAACACTTCATCTGCATTTAAAAAGTACTAAAATCTCCAGACTCCATTTTTAATATCCATCAATATTCCTCCTCACCATTTTGAAGCTGCTCCTCAAGCTCCTCAATTCTCTCCTCATACTCTGCCAGCTCCTCTCTGTGCCGTTTTGAGATTTCAGCCATTTTCAGCCTCTGGGCATCCTGCAATGCTGTCAGTTCATGCTGGTGCTCATCCACCTCCTGTGCCATTTCCTCTCTCAGCTCCTGATTGGGTCAGAACGTCATTTAGGTTAAAAACAGAACCTGATTCCAAGCGCTGACCTACTCTGTTACAGTTCATAAGGTTTTTCACCTTGATCATTCTTTGCATTTTCACAACTTCACCCTGGTCTCCGTTACCAACAACTCCTGGTAGCTTGGATGCCTGGTAAATAAAACAAAACAAAAAAAAATCGAATTAGTCTCATTTTAGGTCATAGCTCTCTCATGATACAATTGTAAAACTGTGTCCGAGGTATAATTTAAAAGTGACCTGAGCAACTCTCCTCCAGTGAGCTACATCAGCTTCTAGACGATGCACCTCACTGGAAAGACGGTTAATCTCCTGCTGTGACCACAGGACATCACTGAGGTCCACCTCATCGCCATGGAAGCCTTGATGGACAGCTGAAGACCGGTGCAGAAAGGAAGACGAAGTAGTAGTAGTGGCAGCAGTGGTAACAGGAAGTACAGCAGCATCAGAGGAGGATGAGCTGGCTGCAGCCTGAGCGGAATGTTGGAGTTTCTGAACCTCCTCCTGCAGACCACTCTGACGGGCCTTGAGGTGACTGATCTCCACCTTTACAACAATAAACATACACACAATTTTAACAGTATGATTCTAAATTTTAGAAATTCTCCCACTATGATTAGGTATATTGTAATTCTTCTCCCAAAAAGAAGTGCAGTTAGTTTTGAACCCAAACCTCTTTCAGTTGCAGGAAGGTTCTGTATTCCACAGACTGCTGTTTGACCTGAATCTCTGCCGCCTCTAGCTTCTCCTCCAACTCAGAGTTTATTCTCCGCAAGCGCTCATACTAAACCACACAGAAGCAAATACACAAACAAAAAAAATTCAATTACAGATGTTAATGCACTGACAAAATGTTTTGAAACAACTCATCCTGTAACTGAATTTGGCTCATAATCAGGCATTTTTTAAAACAATGTGTGCAAATAAAAAGAAGAAAAGTCTTAAATTTTAAAGCACACAAATCATGATAGAACTAAGAAATATCGGCAAGACTTCAGCATCAGACTAGGACGTTTTGTGCTCAATTAATCACCTCAGATTTTTGTGTTGCATATAAAGTCTCCAGTTCCTGCAATCTAGAGTTGGACACCTGCAGCTCAGAGGCAGCATCTGTAAAAAAGAAAACACACTGACATTTAATGAAGTCATAGTTGCTGAAATAGCTGAGCCTACATCTGTGCATGCAGCTTTATTATACAGCAATTGTCTCAAGTGTGAATCATAGAGTGACAAGTCCTTTCCATTTATCTAAATAAAAAAACATGAGGAAAATGATGATGGGAACCTCTGTTCTTCTATAAACTGTGCAACATTACCAAGTCACTGGAGGAGATGATACACTGACTAACCACAATACCTCACTGAATGAGAAGGTTAAAGGTGAACAAGTGTACAGAGAGTAAAAATATCCTATTAAATCCACCCAAAGACTACTACATTTGCATTCTACACAGGAATCATTCAAAGTCATGGACACATTTAGTCAATTGTTGGGTGACTGTCCCTTTAAATACCAACGTTCCAGGAGGATCAAGTTCAGCTATTTTATTCCAGCAGCTGCAAAGCCCCAGCAGAATATTACATATCTATAACCAACAAGCACACTTAAATTAATATAGACTCTGAAGTAAATAACAAAAGCTATTTAAAAAAAAAAAAAAAGCACAATATAAATAATACTCTTAAGAGTGAAAAAAAGCCCAAACAATAATAGGTAACAGCATGTTTTTGCCCACAAGCTCTAAACAGTAAGGTTCTATTTCAACACAGTTCAGGTTCACATGACAAACAAGAGACATTTACACACATAGCATACTCTGTCTCAGCCCCACTTGCAAATCTAATGCATACACACAAAAATGACTACATGATATTGTGTAGTGATGGAGGCACTTCGATGTAGCCTTTATCTAAAGCAACTTAAAATAGCGACAATCCGTCTGAAGTTTTGTCTTGTTCAAGGGCACATTGCATGTACAGTGGGTATAGTAAAGAATCACCCCCCTTTAAAATAATCACATTTTGTTGCTTTGCAGCCTGAAATGAAGATGGACAAAGTTTTTGTTTTATGCAGCTGTATTTACTCAGTACAACTTATAACATCAGGTGTAGCTAATCACCTTCTCAATGGCACACAAAGCCATTTGACTTTCAACTGTGATCAGCTGTGGTCATTTTGATTAGTGCAGCATGAAAAGAGCTTTCCTGGAGCATTTCAGTCCTTAGTCCTGTCCTCTGTCAGAAAGTTGTCAATGGGAAGGTTTACCTTCCAACATGACAATGACCCAAAGCACACAGCAAAACTGACCACACAGTGGTTGAAGGAGAGAAAGGTGAATGTTCTTGCATGGCCTAGTCAGAGCCCAGACTTAAACCCCACTGAAAATCTGTGGAATGACTTGAAGTCTGCAGTCCACAAACAGTCCCCATCAAATTCCACTGAACTTGAGCAGTTCTGCAAAGAAGAGTGGGCAAATATTGCAAAGTCTAGATGTGCAAAGTTAGTAGAGACATATCCCAACAGACTATACCCACTGTAGGTGGTCTCTGTTGTTGTGGAAGAAGACAAACCCCTACCCGGTGTCACACCTGCCTTTTCTAAGCAGCCAGCCTAAAAAATTGCTAATATACACTGGTAACAATTTACAATAAGTTTCTATATGTTAAAAGTATTTAATGCAATATATGACATGAAATAACAATGAACAATACTTACAGCATTTATTAATGTACTACTTTGTTATTGTTATTTCTACATACAGCTACTAGTATATTGTTAACATTTCAAATTACAAATATTAACATTACTAATATTAAAATTATTATTGTTATTATTATTTATTGTATAAAGAATGAACAAGAATTAACAATAAATAATATTACAATTAACCTATATTATTAAATGCTGTCCTGTGCTTTCATGACACCTAATGTTAACAAACATAACTTTTGGTAAAGTTGACACACCACGTTTATGTAGTATAATCTGAAAGACAACAAAAGCAGGTAAGTTTTAGTAAGTCTGAAACTGCTTTGAAACAGGCCGGTCGATGCATCGTGAGACATGACATACTGACTCAAGGTCTGTCTGCTTTGCTGGAAGCTGCTGATCAAAGTTCTCAGTGTGCTGTGTGTGTCTGTCCACTCCTCCAATGGTCAAAAAGGGCATATTTACTTTTAACACTAGCAAGGTTTTTGTTGGTAAACAACTGTACTTCTGTGTTTGAATAAGGCAGAATACAACAAGGAACAAGGCAGAGATACACACCAAAGTACTTCAATATTAAGTCCTCATTGACAAAAGAAAGCAACAGAACTAAGAAACATCCAGCACTTTCTGGATTAAGATCAAGTGCCTAAACTCCAGCCGAAGCCACATCTCTAATAGGGATTCAGCGGCTGTATGCAAACAAACCTCTTACTCCGTCTTACTATAATTACTTTAGCCCATTATATAAGTGCACCGTAGCATCATATGCCATTTGTAGAGAATGACAATGGAAATCCTAAAGGGACTGTTCACCCAAAAATGAAAGCTATTTACTCACCCTAAACTCGTGTTCCAAACTTTTATGACTTTCTTCTCAAAAGTAGATAAAGTAGTAGGCAGAATGACAGGCTCTGTCACGAGGCTGTAGGTCCCTAACATTTCTTTCAAGTCATTTAGGTTTGGAAAGTATAATAATTTTCATTTTTGAATGCACTTTCCCTTTAATTCCTTTGACGAGATGCAAATGTAAACAAAATCACATCTTAAAAAACTGCCAAAGTAGTCATATCTCAACAATCAGACCAAAACAAGTAGCACATTTCACAGTGAGTTTAACTTAGATATTTAGGCTAAATATCAAGCACAATTGGACAGACTGTATTCATAAACGAATCAACATAAAACTGTCACATTCATTAGTCTAGCCTACAGTTATGCTCACTAAAAATAAATGCATAATAAACAAAACGATCAAAAACTTTCAGTTGTTGTAAAAGACAATTATATAACAAAACAGCCGGCCATACTGTACAAACACTGTAAAAGTGTTAAATGTCTGTATGGGAAGTGATATGATCTTGATGACTGTTGTCAACTCACCTCCCACTTCCTCGGCGCTTTCCAGTAGAATATCTTTGGTAAAATTAGAGATCTGGCCGGTAAAAGAAGACAAGCTTCCCCCGACCTGACCCAAACTCTGACCCAGGCCAGAGCCTAACCCTCCCAGCCAGGACGACATGATGAGCCGAGCCGGATCTAACCATTAATCAACGACACGGGCCTTTCAGATACACAGACAATGCATTGACAGCACAGATCCGTGCGAACGAGGGCTTCATGTACTCAAGCTAAGTATAACTAGCGTTATTTACATTCCAGATGGTCCAACTCCATGACATAAACAAAGACAAAACGCCGGGTTATACGTGTTAAATCCACAGGAATCACGAAGAACTGGTCGCCGAGTTATATCCACATATGGACGGGCAGGTTTCTGGTAGGGGTTTGATTTGGGTCGCTGTGTTTTTCACGCGGATGAAGCGCCAGCTCGACCGCGGCCATCACAGCCGGACTGATTATCCGTCAGCGGGGACGTGGACAGCACAAATGCATTATGGGACGGTGGAGGACCAACATAATCCAGCGCACACTTCCCACGCCTTAACAGCGACGCCACTGGACTGAATGAGTCCTGCAATCATGTGATTTATTTAATATCTCTGAGGCCGTAATTTGAGACAATTTTTTTATTATTATTATTTCATTATATTTATTATACTTATATAACATAGGCTTCTATTCAAAAGTTTGGGGCCAGTAAGATTTTTGAAAGAAATAAATACTTTTAATTAAGCAAGGAGGCATTTATTTGATCAAAAGTGTCAGTAAGGAATTTTTAAGCTACAAATTATTTCTTTTTTAAAAAATACTAAAAATGTGTCACATTTCCACAAAAATATTAAGCAGCACAACTGTTTTCAACACTTAGAATAAATGTTTCTCGAGCACCAAATCAGCATATTAGAAATGACTTCTGAAGGATCATGTGACACTGAAGACTGGGGTAATGATGCTGAAAATACAGCTTTGCCATCACAGGAATAAATTATATTTAAAAAAAATATTAAAATAGAAATGTTAAATTCAGTCATGTTAAATTGTAATAATATTTTACAATATTACTATTTTTACTCTATTGTAAGGATAAAAGAAACTCAGATACTTTGATCTTCTGAGACAGACAATACACACACAGTGCATTAACATACAGACATCTGTTTCCGCATCTCACTGAGAGAAAATGCGGGAAAACGTCTCTCACATATGCATTGGGTTTTTACTCATCCCCTTCCTTCCCCGCACCCATCCTTCTCTTCACCCAGCACACTCAGAATGGTCAATAGTATAATGTTATATATGAATGCAAATAAGATTTACAGTCATGTTTGGTATCTCAGGGCGAGTAGTACAATTATATAATAAAATGGAGTCAGATTTGAGTTAAATCTAAATTGAATAACTCTGCGCGCTGAAAAGACCGAACACGCAAGAAACCTTCATCCACCACTGGATACCTTCCTTGGGCCAAGTGCGTGGACCTTACACTATATATTAATTTTTTTAATAAAATGCAGCCTTGGTGAGCATGAGACTTTCAAAAACATTCAAAAATCTTACCAAGCCCAAACTTCTGAACAGTATATAATTATGTATGTATGTATAATTTATTATATATTAAAATATGTGTTATTTTTATTATAATAATTAATTATAAAATATAATATATAATAAATACATTGTAGCAACTTCTACATTTTCCTCATTATCACCCCTCGGTACTTCTAGAGAGAAGAAAGTCACAAAAACAGCTGGGAGAATTAAGATGATGTCTGTGTTAATATTTATTAAGATAAATCTGCTTTACAGTGTGAGGAATTCAATCTGTTATTTCCTGTAACAAAAATAGTCATGATTACATTTGCGTGAAACAGAGATGAATAAAAGAGATTCTTAATTGAATAAAACCACAACTTTAAATTACACCTTAAATATTTCACTTTATACTGCTTTTAACACTCATGCCAAATTTTACTGAAAGCATTCAATCATGTATGGGCCAGGAAAATAAATGAGGTGGATTAAGGGGAAATGTGAGAGAAGCAAAGTAACAGAAAGAGAGAGAGAACCGCCCAACAGCATGTCTGTGCAAATTGATGAATGCATATTGAGCCACTGAACAGCAGCCTGAAATCTCCCTAAGCTTAACCTTTATTAACCCTTACTGAGCTCAAACAGGTTATTATATGTTATTATAGGTAGAAAGTCCTTTATCTCCCATCAGGATGATTGTGATGCATCTCTGGTGTGTATGTCAAAAGGACAATCATCACCCAAAGGTGTAGTAGTGCCTGGACAGAGAAACATAGATTATGACACATAAATAAACACAAACTCATCCAGCTTTTTCTTAAAACTTTTAATTCTTCATTTTAACTTTCAAATATTCCTTAATGTGCTGTGTACTCACCATATAAATAATAACAAAAACCCTGGCCATGGGGTAACGTCTGAGAAAGATTCCTAGACGTATACTGGAGAAAAACATAAAAAAACCACACACATTTTAATACAATTGGGACACTGTAAAATACATTATGTACACACACACACACACAAAAAGATTTCCAGGGACTCAATTACCTGAAGCGGTCAATGGTGCTGGCCGCTTCACGAACCTTCCCATACACTCCTGTGCCCGGTCCGTCTGCATCATTAAACAGGATTGGTGTGTTCCTCTGCCTAGCACCTATACACACAAAAACAGTCACACACAATCATGTTGCGCTTCAAAGTATAAAAAGTTAAAATTGCAGTACGTAACTTTTTTTTGGTTAAAAATTATCAGAAATCAATATTTGAGCAAGTACATAACCAGCCAGTGTTCAAAACTATCGCCTTACTTTAGCCCGATTCACAACGGTTAGCTTATAATAATGTTTTTTAATTTGAGTGGTACGGGTAGGTTTCCGCGGGAAATTCGAAATTCTGCCGCACCATTACGTCACGTCTGTAAACATAAAGAAGTTGTCCCGGCTACTAAGCTATCGCATGTGAGGATCCTGCACGCGAGCTAGATAATTCCGCACACAGCTGCAATTCCAGGTTTTCAAACAGAGATGGCGACAAAGAGGCAAAACTTACGGACTGCAGCTTTAAATTATTCCACACACACAAAGCTTGAGTTGAGTGGTTTGATTCAGTGTTCATTTTTGTATCATTGATACACTATAATAGTTATTCATATGAAAAATTTAGTTTTTATTACTAATTTGAATGAGCTTTTATTTTTATATTTTGTGTTTTCATTATAATTGGACAAAGTTTTACTAATTTTGCGGTTTTATAATTTTAGTTTTAATTGCAGTTCAGTTAATGATTATAACCCTGGTTTGATTAAAAAAAAGTTCCATAAAATCAGTCCTTCTGGAATTTCCCATCATGCAGTGCACTGACCTGGTCCCTCCATGGCAGCCATGTTGATGTGTGAGCTGCTGTTCTGACCACCCTGCAGGCTCTTTAGTTGCTGTTCCAGCCTTTCCAGCTGAAAGACCAGGGAGTTCTTCTCTGTGCCCAGGGCTTCTAACATGGTCTGCTTCTGAATCAGTGTCTCTGTCAGCTGGTGCAAACGGCCCTCCAGCTCCACCTGACCGCTGTTGCTCAGAGCCTTATTGGTCAGCTAGCAGAAGAATTGTAAAATTCACCATAACATTTCTGAAAACTTGGACCAGGTGCACAGATGTTTCTTTTAAAAACATTTTATTATAAAACCTCAATTGCTATTCCTCATAAATTTGTGTCTTCGGGGTACCTGGTTTCTAAGCTTTTGGATCTCATCTTCTCTGTCTTTGACGCGACCCTGAAGGGCGGTTTTAGTGTGATGATGCTCTTCTTCAATGTACTGCAGTTCCTGCATTAAAATGTATCAACATTTACTCATTATTTAGAATATTCTTCTTTTTAAAATAAAACAATGCAACAACCCACAATATACCCCCTCTAAAAACCTGGATGTGCTATCTCAGGTTCACTCTTTTTTTTCTCTCTCTCTCTCAATTATGTACCTGTTTGGATCTCTCCAATTCTGCCTCTATTTCCTGTTTGGCTCTGATCTGCTGGGCATGTGATTTTATTAATATTTTAATTAAGAAAAATAAAACACATATTTGATGTCTTTCATAATAAAATATTTTAGCATAATGTGAGTAAATAATGCTATTTGTTTCTTGTATTATAGTGGTGCATATAATTGAAAATAATATAATAAAATAATAAAATAAAATAAATTTTAAAAAATCTTAAAATATTCTAGCAAGATTGAAGTAATTGTTGTTATTGATTAATATGTATTATTATAGTGACTCATATAAATGAAAATAATTAAATCTAATTTTGAGCTGTGTTAATTTAGTGCTGTAGAATTACCAGTTTTACTACTTATGGTCTTTACTTGCAAAAAACACTAAACTCTGATCCTTCAGCCTTTTAGTAATTTAAAAGCAAAGGCACAAAAATATGAATACACACACACACACTATATATATATATATATAGATATATAAATCAAAAGGCTAAAAAATATCAGGATTTTAGGCCATATCACCCATCCTTTAACTCTACATTGAGATGGTATATTTTTGGAATTTTGCGTGTGTACCTGTATCTCTGTTCGTAAGCTCTGTATTTGGGCCTGTAGCTTTTGAATCTCTTCTCTTTGCAGCTCTTTCTCATGACGGAGCTCTTCAAGTTCAACCCCAGCCCCAGCCCCCTCCAGCACCTCCAGACCTGAGCCCTCCTTCAGACTGCTGATCAGCTTCTCCTTAGACTGGAGGAACAACGACCATGATCCTTCATATACTTATCAAACAGAGATAAAAAGTGACATGAAAATAAAGAGAGAGAATGAGACCTGTAAGATGCGTGAGGCTTTGTTTTTGTAGTCCTGCAGCTCCTGTTTGGTGTACTCTGCTGTGGATCGGGCGCTCTTGACCTGTTGAAGTAGTTCCTCAGCTCTCTGTTTCTCTTCTGTCACCCGACGCTCTGCGTTTGTTAATGACTCCGCCAATTGCTGACGCTCGGTCTCCACCTTCGCCAGTCGTGCTGCAAACTCACTCTGTGAGAAAATGACATGTAATTATGATCTACCACGTCCATCGTTTTATCTCTAGACAGAGCTTACAGCATAAATCCCGGTTCTGTTTGTTTCTATGACACCTGTTAACTCGCCTGTATCTGTCTGTAGCTCTCCTGTTCTCTCTTCACTGCTGCTTCTGCGTCTCTTATTCTGTCCTGTAGTGTCCGTAAAGCCTGAGACTGAAGACTGCTTCCCTCACTGTGATCCTGAAGAATCCTAAAATATAAAAAACAGCAAAAGAGGTTGATTCATTCAGACAAGAGAAAATATAGATTATGATGATTCTGATTCTGATTGGCTGAGCCACGTTCGAAGCTGTTGTAAATTACTCTACAAACATACACCTTTGTTTACGTTTGTGTGTAAACAAACTTTGTTGCAACCACAACTGATTCTGAGGAACTACATTGTTTGGTGGAAGAATACTGTTTTTATTAATATCATTCCACTTACGTGCTTAACAACGCCCCTCAGCTGTTATAAATTCACTGTAAACCACGGCTTCACGGGGCTTATTGCTTTATCAACTCATCTCAAACTAAACAAGAAGTGTTCTTCTGCTTCCGTGAATTGTCAAAGAAACTCACCTGATCCTCTCATTCTGAGCTTCCTCCAGGGCGGAGTTTCGGGCCTTCAGTAGCTGATCTGCCTCGTCCAGTCGTACTTTAAGGACCGCCAGCTGACCATCTTTTGCAGACAGGGCTTCTGTGAGGTCATCAACCTGTGCCCTCAGCTCTCGAACCGTGCGATCAACGCGAGACTGGTCCGAGTTCCACTTTTCAGCATGAGCCCTGGCAAGGTTCACCTCTATAAAAGTAGAGGAAATAATCATTTAATGGCTTCCTAAGCTTTTGTACTCATTTTACCATTATACTCATAGCAGTTCTGTTATTGTTTTTAATAAAATAGTTTATAAAATTGTTTTTGTTAATTGAAATAAAAATCTGAAATAAAATAAATATTAGATGAAAAACTAAATTACTAAAAACTAAAAAAACTAAAATGAGAGAGAAAAAAAAAAGAATTATTCTTTTGGCAACTAACCGAAATAAATTGTTTAGGCTGAAGTACTAAAATTAAACCTCAAATAAAAATAAATTACATTTAAATATAAATATTTTAAACATTTTTTAAAACTAATAAAAATGAAAAAAGCACATAAAAAAATTAATTAGTTAAAACTGAAAAATAAATCTAAAAGCAAAAAAAAATCTAAATATTAAGAAATACTATAATAGTATATAAATTATACTAAAAACACATTTATAGCATACAGTTCAACAAACAGGCTCACCCTCCTGCATGTTTTTGGCTCTCTGGATTACAGAGGCCATTTCCTGGTTGAGAGAAGAGACTTCACTGCGTAAAAGCTGGTTCTCGAGACGAAGGTTGGAGATCACCTGCTCTTGGCCCTGCTGCTGCTGCTGCTGCTGAAGCTCTTGAGGTGAGATCTCCAGTGCTGGCTGGGCCTCTGTGGGAGCATCCAGCCCTGGATTCAAATTCTCCTGAACATCAGCTGGACAGAACATATAAAATAAGAAAGTTCAAAGAGGATGAATCATGTTATCAAAACAGTAGTAAAGGTGTTTAAACACTAATTATTTAATAACACTGTTAAATACAAACTTTAACAGATCTTAAAATGAATATTAATTTTTGATACTGTACATTATAACACTGCGGTGCTTTAATTCATTTATAGCATTTAAGTAATTGATTTTTGTTTTTACTTTAAACATATATTTGACAAAATAGTTAAAATAGTACGCATGCCATTTTAGTATAATTGATATACTATTATAGATTTTGATTATATTTTGAATTAGACTGTATTTTTATTATTTGTTTTCAATTTGCTTCTATTTTTTATTTTATTTTATAATTTAATTAGTAATTTAGTTTTAGCAATTTTGTTGGTTTTTTTTTTGTTTTTTTTACATTTCGTCTATATAGTTTTGATTATTTTTTATAATTATTTATTAGTTTTAGTTATTTTGGTACTTTACATCAAACTAAATGAAAAATGTTTCCTTGGCAACTAGCTGAAATAAATTAAGCTTAAGTTTCTAAGGTTGTTGTTTTAGTAAACTATAATAACCCTGAATAGTATACATTTTATTTAGACAAAATAGTATGTTTAATAAGATTTAAGTTTACTGACATTTCATCTTCACAGGCTATTTCATGGCAAATACAGACTCAATAAACACAAACATTTAATAAAATAAAAAAGACCAAGCAATTTTGTATACACATAACAACTCTATAAAAACGTCTTTAATTGTACTTGCGAGACAAAATAATATAAATATTTATCAGTTTTTGGGAGTAACAGCAAATGTTATTAACCTGCGATGACAAAAATATTACAATTTCTTGCTCTCAGATAAATTCAATGAACCAAACGATGTATGATGTAGGTTTTGTACCTTGGCTTTGGTCCCGAGTGGAGCCATCCTCGGTTTTAACGCTGTGTGAACTGTTCGAGAGAGAGCCGAGGCTGGAATTTCTGGACAGGCCCTGAGTGGAGGATGGGGTTGCAGGAACAGAGGGGCCCATCTGCAGGTCGCCGGTCACAGAAATAGGGGGCATCTGGGTCTGAGCTGACCCGCCTGTTGGACCCAAAACTTTAGACACCGTTTCTCTTCTGACCTCCTTTATTTCGCTCTGCAGTGGGTCCGAACTATTCAAGAAGTCAAAGAGCAAATCATCGTTTACTTCTGGCTTTTTGGGTTGCACAAAGTTGGATGATGCCTTGCTGCTAGAACCCAAAGGCGTGGTGCTGGAGACATTAGCTGTACTGGCCAAAACCGTGGCATTGGATTTCTTAATGTTCCCAGCAGCTGTGGAGATGAAAGCCGAAGTTCCATGGGATGAGGAGGAGATGGAGTCCCTGTGCTGTTGGGTGGAGCTGTAAGCCGCAGAGTTGTACTGGATCGAATCTGTGGTGTCAGGGCTGTTGTAGGACAGGGAGGACTTCTGAGTGTTTGTTGTCAAAGCGCTGGCTGCACCCTGGTCCACTTTATTGAGGAAGTCCTCTGCCTTCCCAGCAAGATCAACAAACCAAGACATCCTGAGATCCTCTGGAAATGAAAACATGCATGCAAGAGATGTTAAAGTGATGACATGCCTGCTAGCCTGTCATGCTATTTAATTTATGTCACCCCAGTTTCTTACATTTTTGTGCTTGTAAGTTATAGTTTTTCATTTTTATTAGAAAAACAGATAATTTTTTAACCTGAGAGACCAACATTGAAGAGTCAGATCAGTAATGTTTGACTTCTTCAATGCAAACATTAGCTGAAAACAAAACCCATCCCTTAAAGTATACTTCACATCCAGTATTTTAACCTCCTCTCATTTAAATCAATGCTTAGTCTCTAGCAAGAAAACACTTGCCTGTCAAATTTATAAATTATTACAAAATCAGTAAATTTATTATACTTAGCATATTCAAGCAATAATTATTCATCTGTAATTTTTGACATTTCCTTTTAGTTCTTTCCATTCCTCACTTAATGTGTTTACATTTTGCGTGCAAATTCACTTAACACGGTGTATTTACACAAAACTGTCAGCTGTAACTATCCGCTACATTTCGTCTAGTTTTCGATAAAAATGACACTTGTTCATTTGCAATGTAAATCCTGTAAACATGACAGTACAGTGCTAAGCATTACATGGTCAGTTTCACGTCTTCTGCCCAATAACTGCAGTTAAGGTCAGATTTTTGTACCTGAAGGGGCTCCGATCTCTCAGAAAGCGGTAAGCAAATCTTGCAGGGGCATGTTTTGGGGAATATCTGGGGAAATTGTGTCTACTGGTCTCTTGCTCGCTTATCGGTGACTGTTTTTATCCTGTTACTCATTCGGATCCAGACCGACGTGGACCAGGAACTACACAGAGGACCCATAACAGTCCGCCCTGCACAGTGCCTGACTAGAAAAGGTTGAATGATGTTGCTGTGCCTGATTGTAATAATATAATATAATATAATGTAATATAATTCATTCTTACCATGCAGCAATTTTTCATTGCCCCATTAAATGTATGGTGATATAAGATAAAACATTAAACTCCCAATTTAAAAATATGGAAATCATATTAATTCACGGTTATTTAAAATCTTTTGCCTAATTTTGATATTAATTAAATATATGGTGAATTTTTAGTATATGATTTTACTACTTTGACATGTCATCTTCAAACTTCTAATATATATATATATATATATATATAAATTGAATTTAAAAAATATATTTCAGGTGTATTTGCTTTCACTAATCAAAATGTTTTAAACAAAATATTTTCTCTGGGGATATTTGAATTGGTAATTATTAATAGGTTTTTACTGCATTCTCAATATCACTTTCCATCCAATTAGTCTTGTTATATCCCTTTCCTAACACAAGTTAGTTACTTAATGACATCATTTTCAAAATTAAAATTAAAACTAAAAGAGCCATCTGACCAATAAATACACAAACACATGAATTATGAAACAGTTCCTCCTTTATTCAGCCGCACTCACTCAAGATCGCTTATTTACAAGGCATGCCACAACGATAGGAGAACTGACTAAAAGACTTCAATAATTAATGATCAATAACACTTACATCAGCTCTGAGGGAGACAGAGGGATATGGAAGGAAAAAAAAGAGCAGTAAAAACAAAAGGATACATCAATTCTCAATGTTTTCTTGTCCATGGCAGACACGTTTATTTGATCATTGTCTTACATGAAACAAACGTTTATATTTAGGGAGTGTGATGTCATTGTCAGACTCCCTCTCTGATTGGTCGGCTTCTCAGCCTCTAAACCAGCAAGCAGAGTTAAGCAGGACTGTCCTAGCAACCCATTACACAGGGTTGGGGGGACGAAAAGAAAACGCTTGTTTAAAAAACTTCAGAGCGTTTTCAGGAGGAACAAGGGAGCGAGGCAGACCCGATCGCATTATTGACAACTAATTACAACTTTAAAAAAAAAAAAAAAAAGATTTGTGTTGTCTTTTTTAATAGTGTCCTTTGAGTCCTTCACAAGCTTGGATATAAAAGGGTCGTTTCTGAGAGCGTCTGAGAGGGACAAAATATGCTGAATACATTGGTACGAAAAGGAGAATCAGAGGTAATGCATTTCTGTTCTCACGTCTGCACACGCCGTAAATAACGCAGACGACTTTTCATCTCTCAAACAGTGACCCTTTGCAGGTAAAGACCTGAAAGATATCACTATTCATCAATATTTCCTCTTACAAACAGGTGAAACACACACTCACACAGTCTCAAGACACGCTCAGTCTTAAAGGTATGCACTTATTTTTTCTCTTTATCATACACTCTCTCTCTCACACACACACACGTACGTTCACATACTTTCCCAAACACACTCACACACACAGGGGTGGCCGCAGCTGTAGACCCCCGGCACTGGTGTCCAATCATGCAGGAGAGGATTTTAAAAAACTTAGGTCAGATGAGTCCTCGTCTCTTCTTGTAGTCCTCCAGGTTGAGAGATCGGCGTGGTGCCCCATCTTTAACAGGCAATGCATTCGAACTCACTGCCAAAGACTTTGCTTCTGTGGATGATTTAAATAAAGTGTAAAATTTAAGACATCAGCTCATAGGATCAGAATCATATACACAACTGTTCAAAAGTTTGGGGTTTGATGTTTTTGAAATAAATCTCTTAAAAACAGTAATAGTTTACTATATTATTACTATTTCAAATAACTTTTCTTTTATAATATTAACGTCAGTTACTCTTGTGATGCAAAGCTGAATTTTCAGCATCAATACTCCAGTCTTCAGTGACACATGATCCTTCAGAAATCATTCTAATATGCTGATTTGATGCTCAAACAAACTTAATATTTCTGTGGAAACTGTGATCTTTTTTTTTTTTTGTCAAGATTTTTTGATGAAGAGAAAGTCCAAAAGAGCTGCATTTATTAGAAATAGAAATTTGTAGAATTATAAATGGCTTTACTGTCACTTTCGATCAATTCAATGTGTCCTTGCTGAACAAATTATTAATTTCTTTAAAAAGATGCATTGCACTGCACTGCTTAATTGTGATTTCCTGCTGGACATCAAGCAAATCCAAATATAGCTATTAGATCTGTGACAAACTTACCAGCATTAGGAACCTGCAGGTCAATTTTGACATCAAAGTCATGAACTTTAAAAAGGTCCTCTGAGAGGTCACTGGTTGGCTTGGTAACATCTTTGTCTATCTGGCTAGCCTGGTCCTGCATAATAAACAAATCAATCAAGTGAATTCTAGGTCCGAACAGGCTCATGTTGCTGTGGGTGTTTGTGCGTTACCTGTTTATTAGCCTGCTGGCTGTTGTCTTGGCCTGAGCCTGAACCATATTTCTGGTTGAGATGAGCCAAAATAGCGGCGTGGACGGAGGGATCTCTAGCCTAAGAAAAAAAGAGAGAAAATTCAGTTGTTTTTTTTTAAATGGCTGCCCCAAAAAAGGATACACTTAAAAGCAAAGGAGGACAGTAGAGCTGACAGAAAGATTCCTCACATTGGACACCATAGTCGGTTTACACTGCCGTCTGGTGAACGGATCCATCTGCTGGTTCTTTGAGTTCTGACCCTCTGCCTGAAACACAACCAACACATTTCAGATTCCAGAATGTTCTTTAGGAGAGTAACAGCTCCAAAGGTAACAGGAACACCTACCACCAATGCCTTCTCAGACTCCACAATGTTCCAACTCCGATTTCTCTGGTTGATATAGCTGAAAAGGAAAGAAAGGAAAAATGATTATGAAGTTAGAGGTTTGGGATCAGTAAGATAAAAAAAAAAAATCTGTATTCCTTTTATTCTGGAAGGCCACACCAAATTGATAAAAAGTAACAGTAAATACAATTAGAATGTTACAAAAGATTCCTATTTCAAATAAACGCTGTTTTCTATTCATCAAAGAAAACAAAATCACATTTTTCACTAAAACATCAATACTAGTTAATACAGTTAATACTAACATTAATTGATTTCAACATTGATAATAATAAGAAATGTTGAAATCTTGAGCACCAAATCATCACATTAGAATGCTTTCTGAAGGATCATGTGGCACTAAAGACTGGAGTAATGGCTGCTTAAAATTCAGCTTTGCATCACAGAAATAAATTACATTTTAAAATGTATTAATAAAAAAAGGAATTTAAAACTATTGACCACAAACTATTGAGTAGTTGCGTAGTGAGTAAGAGTCATAGTAGTGTATGTGTGTTTCTGACCTGATGGCAGAGATATTTTTGGTTCTCTGTCGGTCAAGCGCTTCTGCCCTCTCCTCCAGCTCATTCAACTGATCTTGCAGTACTTTCACCTTCTCTCCATCACCACTCTCCTCAGCCATGGCCTGTACACAAGATGCAAGTTACGCAAGATTAGCATGGGATCACAAGTATGCACTTAAACAGAATCATACACCAACCAAGGGCATATCTACTTGTGATATATCTGAAAAATTACAACCTTCTCTTTGAGAAGTTGCGTTTTCTTCATGGCATAGTTTGGTGGAGCCTTTCGGAATCTGTCTTTTTCTTTGACAATCTGTATTAATAAAAATAAAATAAAAAATAACCACATTGTTATACATTGATACAACTGACAACCATCAGAATATCCTGTATTAAAGACAATAGGAAACGACATCAGTGGGACGTACATCCTCAATGTCTTTGTCATTGAATTTGTAGTTGACCGCCTCCTTGATGGACTGCTCTTTTTTGCCGATCTCATCCAGAGTAGGAAGCTGCATTCCTGCTGACATCATCTATGTGGCAGCAACAAGGTTACTACTGGTCATGCACATCCCATAATGGTACAGGTTGACTGCAGTTCTACGATTAACCTAAAATGCAACTAAATTTCACTTACCGCCTCTTTCCATTTCATGAATTCGCCTTCAGTGAACTCCTGATTGGACACAAACTCAAGTCTGAAGACTCGTGTGTCATTTCCATGTCTGCAAACATGACACATTACATAATTGGTGGAAGGCAAAGAAATAAATGCATATATAATCAGATATCCTGTGCAAACGTACCGGAGCTGAAGGCCTTTATTTGTCCGTGTGGACCCCAACTGATAAACTTTAGCTGTCTCTACCACATCAATGATTTCAGCCACCTGCAGGATTTCATTTCAGAAATTGTCCATCTATAACTCAGTATATTGCACCTTATATCTTAAAATGTGTGCTTTCAGGTTGCAATTGCTGAAAGATGTTTATAACACTAAAAGGAAGAGAAATTTTTCACTGACCCGATAAACAGGCTTGCTGCTACTGTTTCCAATGCCAATTCGAACAAAACAACCAGTAACAGTTTTAGCAAAGAATGGCATGTGACACCAGCGCTCTAGCTTGTGCCGGGACAGCCGGATCCGATTCAGTTCATCTGGTAATGACACAGGCTGGGACTTGGGCGGAGCCTCTTCTTTACTGAAATACAGATACATACTTGATAAACATGCTTGTTACAGAGGGACAGACCTGTCATAAATATTTTTCTAAAAAAATATTTATGAATCTGTAAGCTTAAAATCTATAAGGATAAAAACAAATAAATGTACATAATTACATTGTCATTTAGCAGACGCTTTTATCCAAAGCGACTTACAAATGAGGACAAAATATATACACACACACTACCAAACCGTTGTGTCTGTTTTCTTTTTAAAGAAATAAAAATCTTCATTCAGCATTGATGCATTAAACTATATTTGTAATGTTAAATAAGACTTTCAAATAAATGCTGCTCTTTCCTGGAAAAAAATGTATCATGGTTTTCAAAAATAAACGTTTATTTAACATTGATAACAACAAGCTGAAAATTTAGCTTTGCTATCACAGGAATAAATTGCATTTTAAATTACAATAACATTTCACAATAC